GGGGAGAGAGAGAGAGAGAGAGAGAGAGAGAGAGAGAGAGAGAGAGAGAGAGAAAGAGAGAGAGAGAGAGAGATCCCACTGACACCGGCGGCAAACGCGACGACGACGGTTCCGGCGACGGCGGCGGCGTACCGACCAAGGGGAGCGGCCGACTCTCCGGGAAGGCACGCGGCGCAGCGGCGGCGGACGCCACGCACACACGCCCGTACGTACGGCCTGTACGAGCGTACATACGCAGCGTCCCGTACGTACGGCCCGTACGCCTAAACGGGCCGGTGGTCGGGCCGTGCTCGCCAACAGGGTTTTCGAGTGTCGGCCCCGTTTGGGGGGGTGGTGGGGGGGGGGGGAAGGGGGACAAGCCTGGGCAGGACGGGCTTTGGCGCTGTCCACTGAGCTCCGCTCCGGCATCTGTGGCCGGTGGGCTACCTGCAAGGCTACAATGGCGCCCAAGAAAGGGAGGGGAGATCAGCCATTCGTTCCGGTCAGTAAAGACAAGCAGAGGGAGGCGGAGCTGAAGTTTTGCGGCTTTAAGTGGGTTATGAAGGGGCAGACGATGCCGAATTCGAATGGCAATTTCCTCATGGAGTGCAAGCTGTGTGGTCAAGGTTTTCAGGGGAGCCAGACGAAAGCCGCACAGCACTTCACGATCAAGAACAATTGCGCCAAAATCTCTGTGGAGCAGATGGCGGAGATATGGAACAAGACAAAGTACGGGTTCGATCCAAGCCATGCACGGAAGATCGTGGACTTTCTGAAGTCTCGTGGGTTGCGAGACAACAGATCTGGATCGGGGAGGGAGCTGGCGGGGAATGAAGAGTTTGAGGACAGCGAGGAGGAGAGGAGGGCGGTCGAGGGTGGAGATCATGATGGTGAGAGTGATGCAGAGGACATGGAGGTGCGGTGAGAGGTGGAGCGCGCCAGGGGAAAGCTGAGGAAGGAGAAGGCCGTTTACGAGGACAGCACCCCTGACGAGGATGCGGACGACGACGATGACGATGAGGGAGCAGACCTTGGGGCCTCTCTGGATGGGGGGTTGATGGGCGATGGCCGTCGTGGCCAAGAGGGGGCAGCTAGGGCGATGAAGGAGGCTGCATGATCGAAGAAGAGAAAGAGGAAGGCGAAGATGACTACCACTGAGGCGAGATCAGCACCTTCTCAGCCCAAAAAGAGCAGAGTTCTTCGACAGACGTCCATGCTGGAGACCTTCATCCAGTGTGGAAACGAGAATTCTCAGGCTCCGTCCTGAAGTGGTGGTACGTGAGCGGCATCCCATTCGAGGCGGCGAGATAGGATGAGGAAGAAGTTGCTCGAGTGTCCGCCGTATGCACATCCGGCATTACCCACGCACCGTGTCATTTCGTGCGAAGGCATCCCTCAGCGACATCGAGTTGTGGCGGACATGGTGGCGGCCATCCACAGGGACATTGAGGCGACGGGAGCGACCATCCTCACGGATGGTCGCAAGTCCATCACGAGCGACCAGATAGTCAACTTCCTTGCTGCTTGTCCCACGGGCGCGTACCTTTTTAGGACTGTAGAGCGGGATGGTGCTGTTCAGGAGACAGCAGAGGCCGTAGAAGAGCGATGGAAGGACGTGTTCGACAAGTTTGGTGTCGACAAGGTGAACGCCATTTGAACTGATTCCGCGTCTCCGTATGTTGCTGCGTCGAAGCTCCTCGCCCAGGAGGAAGTCAAGTACAGACGCATCACTTGGCTTCCGTGTGCGGTCCATGTCTGCAACTTGTTGTTGTCAGACATCGCGAAGGATGGGCGCGACGGGAGCCTCGGGAAGAGGGAGGACACCATCATCAGGGCTCGAGCTGTCGTGCGTTTCATCAGAGAGCACGGGGCGGCTCTGAGCCTTTATCGACGGTTCTCTGCCGCCCACCCCTCTTCCGCCTCCGCGGCGGCTGGTGGTTCGAGCTTTGCGCCACCCTCGTCTCAGCGGCGAGGCAGGGAGCTTGTGTACCCTGTGCAGACGAAGTTTGCCACCCACTGCTTGATGCTGGAGAGGCTGCTGGATCGTTGCAGAGCGTTGGAGGCGTTGGTTATGAGAGACGATTGGCTGCGGACTGCATGGAGGAGGTCCATTTTTCTGCAGGCCAGATGGGTGCGTCATCAGGTGCAGTACGCGCCATTCTGGGAGCACGTGGAGGACATCGTGGTGCTCATGACGCCTGTGATGCAGTTGCTACGGCGTCTGGACAGGGGGGGTCGCGTGATGACTCGCATGTGGTCGTGCGGTTTTGTCATGGTCGACAGGGTGGCGAGAGCAAGCCTTAACAGGACGTCGAAGGACGAGCTCCACATCGTTGTTCAGGCTTGTCAGGCGCGGGTCGCTCATATGTTGGAGCCCGCACATTGCATGGCCCACCTCCTCAATCCGCGGCGGAGGAGCATTACTTTTTTTGGAGCGGCGAGGCGTACCGACCACGAGCGGATACTAGCAGACGAGTCGTTGCGATACCTTCGCCAGCAGACTGGTGGTGACGAGGATTTGTATTAGACGTTGCGCATGCAGCTGGCGGAGTTTCATTCTCGGGAGGGCGATTGGACGTATGGAGGAGCCGAGGGAGATAGGGATGCGGCCGCCTGCAAAGGGGAGAAGGAGACGTCACAGGTGGGGCAGCGGTGGGTTCAGCACGGGGACAGGGTCCCTCTCCTTCAAAGCATCGCCATTCGCTTGTCACACACATGGACGTGCGCCTCTCCGGCGGAGAGGAATTGGGCTGTCCATGAGCGTGTTCAGGTGAAGAGGCGTAATCAGCTTGGTTTCATCAAGCTGACTCGTTTGGTGGAGATATCCACCAACTTGAGATTGAGTCGTTGTCAGGGGAGGGGTTCTGGGTACGTTCTTCCATAGGAGGGCGCTGAGGAGGAGACAGAGGACGCTATTCCTCCACCTCGTGATGAGGGTGTTCGGCCGGCTGACCGAGTCACCGAGGCACAGCGCGACCGGCAGATCCAGCGCGGACGAAAGGATCGCCTTTCAAAGGCACCTCCCAGCGTCGCGACGTATTTCGGTCGTCGCGCCACGGTGCTCATGGCGCATGAGTTGGAGTCGGTGTACGATCCCGAGCCTGATCCCATGGCTCATGACGCGATGGAGGCCGAGCCGTGGTCCGATCCGGACGACCTGGCCGTGGAGTCAGAGCCAAGACGTTCTGATGACGATGACGACGACACTCCTCTCATCCAGATTCCGCGTCCTCGCACACGTGCGTCCACGGCGGCCGCTGCACCGTCTCCTGCAGCACGCCCTCCTTCAACAGATCAGCCCATGAGCGCACCTGCTGAGGCGACGTTGCCACATACTGCAGGGCGTATAGCGGGCACCGGCGACCACGCCGAGCACAATGCGCCCCCCGGGAGGAGCATGGCTGCACATATATTGCGGGAGGATGTGAGGGCGGCGACAACGCAGCGACCGTCACAGGCGCCAGTCGTTTGGGAGTCTGGCACAGACGATTTGGAGATGCCTTATGGCCAGGGGAGGAGGGTTTCCGTGTACGATCTTCTTCATTTACAGGGAGGGGTTGAGGCGGTGCCACAGGGGGAGATTCATGCTCTGGATACTACGCACGCACCGGCAGGCGGCACAGGTCGTGGGGATGGTGTCCTAGGTGTGGTGCCGCAGAGGAGGAGGAAGGACATTGTGGACGACGATGATGCATAGTTCCACCATTAGTCTTCTTTCATCCTCTGATTCGTAGTAGTGTACAGCTAAGAGGCTCCCACCGACGCCCACCTGCGGCCAACCCCCCCACCCAAACCACTCAAAAAATTTATTAAACCCCACTCCCTCCCCACAACCAAAAAAAAAAAAAAATCTTTTTTTTCTTTTTTGTTTTGTTCAGCCCGACTCCCACCGCCACCCGACACCCAACCACCCGCAAATCACGTCCGACCCCCCCCTCGAAGACCCCGTACGGACGGCCGGAATCCCGTACGTACAGGCCGTACGCACGGCAGGGGTCTCGTACGTACGGTCGTACGGGAGTACGTACGGGCCATATACGTACGGACGTACACACATAATCAATCAATCAATCATTCAATCAATCAATCAATCAATGAATCGATCGATCGATTAAGATCGATCTTGATTGATCTACATCGATCAAGATCGATCTCAATCGATTGATTGATCGATCGATTCATTGATTGATTGATTGATTGATTGATTGACTCTGTGTGTGTGTGTGAGTGTGAGAGAGAGAGAGAGAGAGAGA